GCCAATCACCTGACCTGAATCCAACAGAAAATCTATGGAAAGAACTAAAGATCAGAGTTCTGTCCTGTGCCATTCCACATTATTACAAATAACTTCATTTCTGGACATTTATGGTTTGATTTCTTTGTATGTATGGATCACTTGGGTTGTTACCAACATCTGGTGAAAATTTCATGTCATTAGCACCTCTAGTAATATATTTACTGAGAAAAACGGTGACGTGTTTAATACTTATTTTACCCGCTGTATATCATGTCAAACACACAGAAGACATGAACTGGTACGTTTGCGTTTCAATGACAGTCAGGGACAGCTGGTATAAGTGGGCTAGGAGGTATTCATTTTCCTGGTATTTACAAAAAATGTTGAAACACCTAATAAACTCAAGTTTAAAAATGTATYGCATTTTGTGAAATTTGGGGCTAATTTTGTTGAGCCCAGGGTCAACCACAGGCTTTAGCCAGTGTGGCTGTACATACAGTAGTGTCCCTCGAGCAAAAGTGTTTTTGGGCGTAGTTTGGTGTAGAGCAAGGTTATAATAGTTTTGGATTTTTCATTATAATTTAGTTTTATTTCATTTTGACTTTTTTTCTTTTAATTCAGTTAGTTTTTTACAGTGGATTTGCTAGTTTTTATTGTTTGTTTAATGCTTAGTTTTTATTTAGTTTAGCTTTTTAGTTCTAGTATTAGTTTTCTTATAGTTTAAAAAACATTTGCCAATGCATCCTCCTGCTTGTGGTGTTTCTGAGTTAACTAACCAGCAGCCAAGGCTGTAGGAATGAGTTTACTATTGAGGGGGACACATAATATTGGAAACCTGACAGATTTGTACTGTCTGAGCAGAAATATGTCATAAATCAACTACACAGCAAAGCTTTTGGATCTTTTCTTGAAAAAATGGTGATGTGGGTAAACCACCCAACAAAATATCTCCAGTCTAATACATAACAAATATATTGTCATCACAATGTCAGTGTGCAATATTCATATGGCAAAGGACTTCTTGATGCACAATAATTGTTGACTAATGTACTTGAAGAAGTTTGAAGTTGTATTTTTCATGCTAATGCAATATTTAGCAAGT